TGGAATATTAATATTGTGACCTTCTGAAATTTTTTTTTTTTTTTAAATTCTATTAAAATTTTAGAGAAAAATAATAGTATAATATATATGTGTGGGAAATAAACACATACAACGCCAGGATAAATTTTTTTTAGATTTTCAGCAGCAGTTTTAGCTTTTGGTTTTCCACCATCAAGACAATCTTCAAACGAAAATAATGGTTGCCGAACAGGATTTGAAAAAGAAACACGCGAATTGTCAACAAAAGTTATATGTCGAATACCCCATCCCTTTAATTATTTTTCATTGAATAGCAACGATTAATGAAAATAATAATAATAATGATGATGATGATGATGATAATGATAACAATTCAAGACTAACCAATAAGCATCTGGCAACATAACAACCAAGCGTTCCAGAACCAAGTAATAAACATTTTGTATCGCGAATTTTTTCCAATTGTAAATCAGGTACAATCCTCCATCTCATTAATTTTAAATTAAGATCGACAGATGTATCAGCCAACCTGATATATATAATTAGAAATAATCAAATAAGTCATCTAATGCATAACATAATATATGCGAATTATTGTGACGATAGTTATAATAACCTTTCAGGATCCATTAAAGGAGCTAAATCTGCTATTCGATGACCAAGTTTTCCTTGTGGGTTTTTTTCCCAACCAACAGATTTTGGACATGCATCTAGAAAAAAGTACATTTATTTATTTATTAAGAATTATATTCCTAATGAGCACCTTCATAGTATTATTTGTTATAATTCATTTATTCATTCACTCACTAATACACAATTAAATACTTAATTACCAAGAATTTTTGCAGTGTCGGGTATTTCAACTGTCAGAATGCGAGTTTGTGAAATATCTTTTTTCCCTGGAACTTCTCTATAACATAAAACCTTTATTTTATTAATATTCCATTGATAGCGTGCTAGAACCAATAAATTACGTAACGGCCATCCAGGGTTTGTTGGTAAACCTGATGGATCAGCAAATCCAATCATCCTCTAAAAGTTATGTATTATATATATTCGTTGATACGTATAAAAATATATACATATGAATATTTTCTATGTATAATCTATCAGAGATTACCTCATTTTCATCATATTCTTTATAGAAACTATTCCAATCTGATAAACTACCAATTACAATTTCTTTGTTGTCAAGTTTTTTAACAAGGAAAAATCCTACATTTCCAGCATATTGTTGTTGCCTAAAAACATCATAATTATCTCTTAATGATTTAACCTATATATGTGTATGTATATATATATATATATATATATATAGTTATAATTATAATTAATTATAAATAAAATAAAATAAAAAATTTTTTAAATTAAATATAAAACAAACTTGATCAAACTCCCAAACTTGATCAATGCTATCAACTTTTCCATTATTAGAAATAACCCATGGTGGTTCAGTTAATAAAGCAGGAAATCCAAACCAATAGTGATACTTGTATTTTTTTAAATCAGCATAAGTTATAACTAGAAATCTCGTGAGAAGATATGGATTTTTTACTGCTTCACCAGAAATTATATCTTTCCAAATCTAAATATGTATATATATGTATATATGTTCACATTTGTATTGAATAGGATTTATTTTAAAAAAAAACAATAGAATAAATAAAATTAATTATTTACACACACATTAATATGAAAAATCATACTTGTTCTGCAGTCTCTTTGAACAAAGAATTTTTATCCAATTGTTTAAATTCTTCAATTGTGTTAGTATTTTTTATTATACCAATTGAAGGATAAGAATATGGAGGCAAACTGGTTGCATATATTAAAAAATTATAGAATTATTATTAAAAATCAATCAGTCAATCAATCTATCAATTCTCAAGTATCATTAATACTTGATCTTCTCACCGTGAAAAAGAAAGATATTTTTTATCATCATCTTTGTCTTTATTCAATTCTTCTTCAAAAGCTCCAGTTCCAAGACATAAGCGAGCCGGAATATAAACATTTGATTCAGCGTTATTATTGCTAGAGGTATGTTGAGAAGAAGTTATTCTATGACTTGTTGAATAATATCCCAAGATGGTTTGCGGTGCATCATCTAATTTGTATAAATCAATTTTCCTTGTGGATAAATTATGCCAAAATGTTGCCTCAACTGCTGAAGAAAATGCTACAAATTGTAATAAATGATCATTATCTGAAGACATTCCTGAAAATTTATTTTGTTTATATATTTATGTTATCAAATCGTGTCAATTTGTAAATTTATTAAAATTTTGGTGGAAATGTTTAGATGCGAAAATTCCGATTGGCTAATTTGGACTTTACACGTGTCAATTTAATATATATGGGGAGGGGGAGGATTTCTAGCAAAAGGTCATTTGTAATATTTAATAGTACAGTGGTAAAAGGGTAATTTATTTATTTTAATAAAATAAAGTAACAAATTATAATCAAATCCTTAATAACCTAACCATGATTTT